TTTCTTTCTTTTTTTTTTTTAGGTTTTTGCTATAGGCACATGTGCTCACCAGAGAGAGACAGATAGAGGAAAGTGAGAAATCCCCCCGTCAAGGAGGATGGCCATGCCACACTCCTTTCTCCTCCATTCTCCTCTGGGATTTTGTACATATATGCATGCACACATACCTGCTGTCCCCCCAACTAGAATATGTTTTTGTTTTGTTTTAAGAATGATCTATTTTAATATTATTTATTACTTGTTTCTTTTTTTTTCCTTTTTTCCCCCTAATTTGACCAGAAAGAGAGAAAGGGGAAGTGAGAAAGCAAGCTGCCAGGTCTGGGACTCATACCAAGCCAGCCATGTGCCCCAACCACCACGCCACCTTCCAGCTTCCTAAAATTTGTTTTAATTATAATATTTTTATACTTTTCTTTTTAGAGAGATATTTGATATAGGGTGTTTGTGCTCACCAGAGAGACAGAAAGTGAGAAATCACCTTCCAGGGGGATGACCATGCAAAAATCCCTTCTCTTCCATTCTCCTCTTGGGATGTTGGGCACGCACGCACATGCACCCAGTATGAGTTTTAAGCCACTGGGTCAGGGACTTGAACTGTGGTCAACTAAATGGGAGTCCAGTGACATAACCATTCCACCATCTGCGGGTCCCAGAATTTTGATACTTTTTAATGTTGGTTCTTGAGAAAATGCGACAATATTGGAGAAACACTGACCTGCAAAAATTGCTTTGCTTGTGCATTTATGGTTATGTTGTAAAAATCTCAAATGAATTTGGACAATTTGGTTGTATTTTTTGAAATTTCTTAATTGGCATGAAAACGTTGGCTGTCTGTAATACTGAGGTATTGAACATTCATATTTAGCCAGAGGTGTTTAAGAAGCTATAATTCAATACTAAAGCTACCTGGAAAGCTGAAATAACCAATCTGGTACCAATGAAAAGATGAATAATTAAAGTGAAGTTTCAAACAAAACCTCAAAGGCTTATTAATGTCTGTATAGTCCCTTTGTCATCGTGCTACTAGGTAATTTATGCTTGTGTATTTCAACTGTTTTCTTGGAAAGAGACTGAGTTTTGTGTGTTTGTGTGCTTGTGTGATTATTTCGGGTTTCCTTTCAGAGAGTTGATGACAAGTCACTCTCTCATGGCAAGAGAGATGGCCAGGACCAGCATATTTGGGACCCATGTCCAGGTAGCTTAAGCCAAAGATCAAAATGAATAGAAGGACAATGGATATCTTAAGTTTGGGGGATATATGGTAACTGAAACATATGATATAGTTTTAATTCAATCACTTGGCCAACAAATACTATGCACCTACTACATTGCAGGTGCTTTTCTAGAGTTTAACAGATACGGCAGTGAATAAAACTAACCACACAGCTTACATTCTTGTCAGGGGAAGAGAGTAAAGGAATGAGTAACACACTGTGTGTTGGGTGGAATAAAAAACCATGAAGAGAAATCAAGCATCAAAAAAGTACAGGAAGTTCCAAGGGTGCAATTTTACATAAGGTAGGCAGGAAAGCACTCATTCACAAACTGACATTTGATCTAAGGAGGGCAGAGAGAGAACCAAGAGAACAAAGGAAGGAAGAGCTTCCCAGACAGTGTTAGCAACAAAAACAAAGGCCAAGCAGCAGGAACATGCCTGGCATTTTCAAGGAAGAAAAGGGAGGCCTGAATGCAGCAGTACAATGAGAGAAGGGAAGGTCACAGAGGAAACAGGGAACAAATCATAGATGTTCTGGGACCAGCAGTTAGTGTAATGGCTATGTCGCTGGACTCCCGCATAGTCAACTGCGGTTCGCGTCCCGGACCTGGTGGCTTAAAACTCATGCCAGGCGCATGTGCATGCATGCCTAAGATCCCAAGAGGAGAAAGGAGAAGGGATTGCTGCGTGGCCATCACCCCTGGGGGGTGATTTCTCACTTCCTGTCTCTCTGTCTCTCTCTGACTGTCTGGCAAGCGCGTAGCACACGCGCCCTATAGCAAAAGCCTAGCAGGTCATTCAAAAGACTTGGGCTTTGACCGTGAGCAAGATGGGATGATCATATATAATGTGATACTTCATAGCCAATAGTAAGTTAGCCAAATTGGAAACATCACCATGGATTCAAGACTCATCCTTAAAGGGCAGTGGTGTGGTGGATAAGGCAGCTGAATTCCATTCAGTTAACCATACAGTTCAAGTCCCAGACCTGGCAAGTTGAGAAACACACCAGGTGTGCTGTGTGTGTGTGTGTGTGCATGCCTCAAAATCCAAAATTCTAAAAGGAGAAATGGAGAAGAGATTGAATGGTGACTATCACTTTCTCTCTCTTTCCAGCAAATGCATGTGAGCTCTGGTGGGGGAAAAAAAGGCAGCATGTGAGAACAAGGATTTTGTTTTGTTTTTTTGTTTTTTTTTTAATATTAATTATTTATTTTGCATTCATTCATTGAACATCATCACAGCATACAAGATGCAGTTTCAGGCCAGCTTAATGGTAGCGACAAGTCCAGAGTTCAATACTACAAGGTTTTAAGTCACCTCCTCTTGGACATCATCAGGCTGCTTCTCATTGTCATGGGAAGTCACCAAATGGGATACCTAGGGTTATGTGTTGGCCTTGATTACTGTTCTGTTGAAGGGAAGCAAGACTCAGTAGAGAGTGGCTCTACTGCCCACATGGGGCAATTTAGTCAACCTGAGGTTACTTGAGAGAGAGCAGACACGCCTACAGGTGGGCCTGCAGAGGAGCTCAGGACAGGACAGCAGGTCAAAGAGAGGGTTCTCATGATGATTTTTTTTTTTTAAGATCTTTTTTTTTGGTTTTTTTTGGAGAGATTTTCACTGTAGGGCACGTGCGCTCGCCAGACAGACAGAGAGAGACATAGAGACAGAAAGCGAGAAATCACCCCCCAGGGGGGATGGTCACGCCGCAATCCCTTCCCCTCCATTCTCCTCTCGGGATCTTGGGCACGCACGCACACGCGCCCGGCGTGAGTTTTAAGCCACCGGGTCCGGGACGTGAACCGCGGTCGACTACGTGGGAGTCCAGCGACATAGCCATTACGCTAACTGCTGGTTCCCCCATGATGATTTTTTAAGATGAGAGAATGGGCCTTGCCAATGTTGCATTTCATAAACGCATAAAACACGCAATCTACACCGAGGATTTTATAGACCATCACGATATTAAACATTAAATTTTCTAAGTGGCACATTTATGCTTAGTGCATGCTGAGAGAGAGTTCCTGCAGCCATACAGAGACATGCTGAGCATCAAAAGCATCATATTAAAGGCCATCATAATTACAACACGTTAAGTCTGTCAAGCCCATTATGCTGCTTGACAGGGGACAAATATTTAGTGTATGACAAATAAAAGCCATAACTACCGATATGACTCAATGTGTGCAATCAATTTCTGTCTCTCTCAGTCTCTGTCTCTGTCTCTTTTCTCTCTCTTACACCGACAACAGTGTGTATATCTGAGGGGGCCACAAATCATCAATTAAGACATAAAAGAAAACTACTTTGACTTGCTTCACGGATACAGCTCTCCTTACTGGGTAACTTAGTTTTATTATGGCAGTGCCTCAAATAGAAAAATAGTTTATTTGAGTTGATACAGAAAAATTTTGAATCTCAGGTGAGTAGGTGAATTGCAAAGGGGACCTTTGTATCGCTGGTGCCTACTGGAAGATACTTCTTCGAAATTAACTTTTGCTCTAGCTACTTCCTGCTTCTCAGGAAACACTCAGGAGCATGGTAAAGGGAGTGATCAGCAGTCATTCAGAGATATGTGTGGGAAGACATATAGCCCTAGTGTGCAGAATAGCCAGGTAAAAGAGAATAAGGAAGCCTCTTGCCCCTGGTGAATCTCACTCCACAATGGTGTAATCATCCACAACTATGGGTCCCCCATGGATGTTCTAGGGACCGTTGTTGACGCACCTGAAACCCTGCAGGTATATTTGGTTGGAGAGAATTACTGGCTGGCCTCACTTTAAGCAAATTACTACAAGCCTCAAGTGAACCCTCGAGCTGTCCTACTAACAACTCTGTCATTTCCCAGTTCCTGCTCTCTCCTGCCCTCCTGCAAGTCTGTTTTACATCCTCTCCTCCCTCCTGAAACCTTCAACACCCTTTCCCCTCCTCACCCTACTTTCTATTTCACTGAGGAAAAAAAAAAAGAAAAAAAACAGAAAAAGAAAAAGAAAAAATGAGAAGAGGCCATAGAGCTACCACAAGCATCTGTGCTTCACAGCATCATGTGCTCTGAAGGTCAAAGTAAAATATAGCAAATCTGCTACTGCACTGTGCAGTGTCAGTAGTTTCTAAAAACTCAAATAAAGGCTCTGTTTCTTACTGGCTGTCTGATGAGGCAAGTTTCCCTTAGATAGCCTTAGTTACTTCAGCTAAAAACAAGGTCCTTCTAACTCCAAGATTTTATGTCTTACTATGGGAGTCACATCTGATAACAAATTAAAATAACCCTAAAGATCTGAATTCCATAAATCACTCAGAGATCATCAATGGCTTCTTCCAGACAGGCCACACTAGTCACCTAACTGACTAAGGACTACACAATCTGGGTTGTTCATGATGGCACTTTGAGAAGCCCACACCTGCTGTAAACTAGGGGCAGACCCTTTCCATGGGGAATGTTTACTTATGGAATTCCCTGCTACTCTTAGTCCACACAATTCTTTTTTGCTGACCTCAGTGTTTTGAAATTGCCCTCCCTACCCTACTGGTGTGTCTCCATGCTAACTTTTTAAAGTTCTTTTATTTCATGAGGATGCTGTTTTAATCTGGACTATAAGTAAACATTCATATCCAAGATTTTTAGACTCTTGAGTTCATAGACAACTTCTCATAGGTCATATTTTTTTTCAAAAATATGGTAATACTTAATAATATTTAAAGTTAGTGTGTGCTATGCATGGCAGAGCTTCTCCCTATAAAAGAACTCTTTCTGTAACTTTCAAGGCAGAGATTTACTTACTTTTTCCAAATGTGTGTTACTTATCAGAGCACCCATGCTGGCTGATGGATCAGAGGGAATGCCAACTTTCCATTCTCTGGTGGCTTCGACAAACCTCTTTAAAAATTCACTGTAGATACTCTTCTGGACAAAGATCCTGCTGGTACAGAGGCAGATTTCACCCTGCCAAGAATGACAAATGAGGACAATGACAAGACTGGAGGACACTCTCCTTCATGAATAAATCACCCTGCACTTTTGAGCACCTGCTGTGTATCCGATATTGGACTGTGATGAGATACAGTGGCAAACAGGACAAAATCCCAGCCATGTGGAACACAGTCTTGTAAGAAAGGCAAACAAAATACAAGTAAACTCAATAATTTCAGGTAGTGATCAAAGTAATAAAAGAAAATTAAGCAGAGGATGGGGAAAGAAACTGGTGGGGAGGAACAGCTAAAGAGAGCATGGAAAGCACTTGCAAAAAGGGGATATTTGAATTGACTCTTGATTGACATGAAGGAGCTGGACAGACAATTATCTGGAGGTAGGGCATTCTTGGTAAAAGGTCAGAGGACCTGCTGCAGGATTGGACTAACATATATGAGAAAAGGCAAGATGATAGAGGGAGCTGAGGATGGGAGCAGAGGTGTATGGTAAGAGATGAGGTCAGGAGGTGACCAAGGCAATGCCATGCAGAGTCTCAGAGGTTTATAAAGAGATTGTTCTTTATTCTGCTTCACAGATAATGCATGTTTTATAAACTGAAGGTTTGTGGCACCCCTGCACCAAGTAAGTCTATCAATACCATTATTTACTATTCAAAAAATCCTAGGTCCCTTAAGAATTATGCTAGATCTATACTAGATGGTGGCACAGACGTAAAACACAATTCTCTATGAGACTAACCCAAATGAGAAGGTTCCAAGTTTGCATCTGGAGACATCCCTGAATATGCCAGGCATCCACATGAACATGCACATGCTCATGATCTGGGACTGCCTAAAGCTGGGAATGGATTACAGCATCAAAACCCTGTTGGGGTACTATCTCTCCACTTCTCTCTGTCTCTTATTCATAGAGGAAATAAATCTTTTAAAAAAGCACTAAAACAAAAAAAAGTGCTAAATCCATTCTGCCTGTGCTCTAAAAGCGAAACAACAAAGCTTGGATGAAAGCATGTCTTTTTGTAGTATGGCTTACTGAGTATTTTAAGCCTTCTGCTGAGATTTACTGTTCAGAAAAAAAAAAAAAAAAGATTCCTTTCAAAATATTTCTGCTGATTGACAAAGCACCTAATTATCCAAGAACTCTGATGGAGATGTATAAAAGAGATTAATATTTTTATGTTTTAATGAAATTCATTCTATAGCCCATGGGTAAAGGAGTCATTTCAACTTTCAAGTCTTATTATCTAAGCAATACATTTGTATTGCTGCTGCAGATAGTGATTCTCCTGATGAATCTGGAAAACATCCATTGAAAACCTTCTGGAAGAGATTCACTATTTTAGATGCCATTAAGAACACTTATTCTCTATGAGACTAACCCAAATGAGAAGGTTCCAAGTTTGCATCTGGAGACATCCCTGAATATGCCAGGCATCCACATGAACATGCACATGCTCATGATCTGGGACTGCCTAAAGCTGGGAATGGATTACAGCATCAAAACCCTGTTGGGGTACTATCTCTCCACTTCTCTCTGTCTCTTATTCATAGAGGAAATAAATCTTTTAAAAAAGCACTAAAACAAAAAAAAGTGCTAAATCCATTCTGCCTGTGCTCTAAAAGCGAAACAACAAAGCTTGGATGAAAGCATGTCTTTTTGTAGTATGGCTTACTGAGTATTTTAAGCCTTCTGCTGAGATTTACTGTTCAGAAAAAAAAAAAAAAAAGATTCCTTTCAAAATATTTCTGCTGATTGACAAAGCACCTAATTATCCAAGAACTCTGATGGAGATGTATAAAAGAGATTAATATTTTTATGTTTTAATGAAATTCATTCTATAGCCCATGGGTAAAGGAGTCATTTCAACTTTCAAGTCTTATTATCTAAGCAATACATTTGTATTGCTGCTGCAGATAGTGATTCTCCTGATGAATCTGGAAAACATCCATTGAAAACCTTCTGGAAGAGATTCACTATTTTAGATGCCATTAAGAACACTTGTGATTCATGAGAGGTTAGAATAGCAACAGTAACAAGAGTTTTGTAGAAACTGTTTCCAACCACATGAGCAACTCTAAGGGGTTCAAAACTCCAGTGAAGGAAGTAACTGCAGATGTGGTGGAAACAGTAAGATAACTAGAATTAGAAGCGGAGCCTGAATCAGTGACTAAGTTGTTGCAATCTCGTGATAAAACTTTAACAGATGCTTCTTATGGATGAGTCATTTCTTGAGATGGAAACTACTCCTGGTGAAGATGCTCTGAAATGCCATTATTGAAATAGCAACAAAGGATTTATGATATTACATAAACTTAGTTGATAAAGCAGCAGCAGGGTTGGAGAGGATTGACTTCAATGTTGAAAGAAATTGTACTCTGAGTAAAATGCTATCAAATAGCATCACATACTCCAGTGAAATCTTTCAGGAAAAGTAAATCAAAATGGCAGACTTTAGTATATTATTTTAAGAAATTACCACAGCCACCCTAACTTTCAACAACCACCATTCAGATTAGTCAGCAGCCACAAACACAAAACATGAACCTCCACCAGCAGAAAGACTATGCTTTGCTAAAGGTTCAGGTGATCATTAGCATTTTTAGCAATAAAGTATTTTTAAATTAAGGCATGTCCCTTTCTTATACATAATGCTATGTATACTTAATAGACTACAGTATAGCTTAATAGACTACAGTATAGCTTCAACATAAATTTTATATGTCCTGCAAAAACCACAAAATTTCTGTGACTTACATTATTTACAATATTCACTTTATCACACTGTCTGCAATGGGACCCATAATATCTCTGAAGTATGCCTACATTGCAGAAGTACAGATAAGTGATGGTAGCTTGGGCCAGGGAGATGCCAATTAAGACTGTTCTGGTCTGTTCTGCTGATAACAAAGAATGCCTAAAACTGGTCGATACATAAGAATAGGGATTTATTGAGAAGAAGACACTTTCATGGCTCCTGAGAACTAGTGATTTCAGGGAAAAAAGAGAAATGAAATTTTCTAGTGATAATTCAGCCTCCAGCTCACAAACTCGAGTGGGATCAAAATGGAATGGCAAAGAGATTCCAGATCACCTCTTTCTGCACGCTCCTGATCACTCAGATTGAACTTCAAGTTTAGAAAGAAACACACCATCCATCAGACGACTAGATATCACCACAGGGCCACAAGAAATATGGGAAAGCAAGAAAATACCTCTCCTCCAAGGAAAAAGAATAGCTACTCTTCATAGACAGTTCAATAGAAATCATGGAAATGTCTGATAAAGAATTTAGAATATCCATAATGGCAAATCTAATAGAGATGGAAGAGAAGAGAAACAATAAACTGCAGAAGAGAAAGGAGAAAGGAACTGACGAATTTCCAGAAGGTGAGGGAATTCTTGCAAGTTCTAAAAGAGGAATTACACACTTTAAAAAATAATCAAATGGACATGTTAGAGATGAAGGCTATATCATCATATTACAGGAAGTCAAAATTTCCCTTGAAAGTATTAAAAGCAGACTAGATCATACAGAAAACAGAATCTCAGATGTAGAAGAGAAAATTTCTGGCCTAGAAAAATCCACCACGAAGACTGAAGAAATTGCCCCCAAAAATGAGAATAATATACAAGAAATACTATATACCATCAAATGTCCAAACATCTGGATAATTGGTATCCCCGAAGGTGAAGAGATTCATAAGGGCATTGATAATCTATTCCATGAAACCCTGCAAGAAAAATTTCCAGATCTTAGAGGCACTCTAAGATCCAGTCCCAAGAAATACAAAGGACCCCAAATAGAATCAACCCAAGAATGTCTTCTCCAAGACACATTATAGCTGGATTGACCAAAACCACAGACAAAGACAAGATACTAAGATTGGCAAGAGAAAAACAGCAAGTTACCTACAAAGGATATTCCATCGGGCTAACAGCAGACCTCTCATCAGAAACAATGCAAGCGAGGAAAGAATGGGAAAATATATTCAAAGTGTTAAAGGAAAAGCAATTTCAACCAAGAATACTTTACCCGGCAAGATTATCCTTCATATGGGAAGAAAAGACAACAACATTCTCAGATAAACAAAACCTGAAAGAATTTACCAGCACCAGACCAGATCACCAAGAAGTTCTCAAGAGAGTGCTATATCAGGAAAATTAAATTCAGACACACAGAAATAAGAATTCAAAAACTAAGAAAATGGCCAACTTAATCATAGGGATAAGTCTGGAGTTGAATATTATATCCCAGAATTAAGTACATGAGACTCAACTGGTGAAATAGCATTTTATGACTTTTGACTAAAATATTGTTTATTTTTTTGTAGGTTTTGGTGTCTGGTTTTAAAGATTTTTGTCCTGTCTTGAGCTGTCAATAAGTCCATGTACCTACTATTTGAACAGAATCCTAACCTGTTTCCTGGCTTTAAGTTTAACACAAGAGAGAGTGTGGGAGGAGGGTGGGAAAGGGCAGAGGGTCAGAAATAGGGATATATATATATATATATATATAACCAGAAATGGAAAATTATTGATGATAACATGCACGATTAAGCCACTATCAGTATATTCTGGATGGGAAATCACATTTTGTATGCTATGATGATGCTTAGGGAATGAATGTAAATTAACCAATGTAAAAAAATGTTTCAGGGGAAAAAAACACAAAAACTGTTTTTCTTGAAATTAAAAAAAAATGCATTAAAAATACCTATTTGATGACTGCAGTAACCTATATAGCCCCCAGGTAGGTGCTACTTTATAGTATGCTCATTCTACTCACTGAGGTTTATGCCTAAAGTCAGACTTGTGTTCATGGATATGTATATATCAGCTGTGCTTGCTATTGAAAATATTTAGATTATTAAGATCTTTAGTGAATCAATAAAATGTGTGTTGTGGGGGAAGGCATAGAAAACAACCATGGATACCAGAAACAATGTGGGAGGAGGGTGGGAGATAGCAGAAGGTAAGAGATAGGGACTCAAGGATTGGAAAAAAAGCAAAATATATAGGAAACAAGAAATGGAAAATTATTTGTTGACAATAACACATATGTCGATGTGCTTGATTGAGCCAATATACATTGTATTCTGGATGGAAAATCTCATTTTGTATGCTATAATGATGAATAGTAAATGAATGTAAATAAATAAATTTAAATTAAAAATTAAAAAAAATAATAATAGAGGTCTATTTACCTCATGATTTAGAAGTCCAAAATCCAGAGGCCACAACTAATAAGGGTCTTCTTGATGACAGGTAACACAACACAGGGCAAAACCGAGCAAGTCTGTATCCTTGTGTTTCTGTTCTTATCTCATTCCCTTTCCTGGGGCCTATCAGGAATTAATCATGGGGAACCCACCCTTATGACTAATTACTCCCCAAAGTCCTCACCTTTCAACACCATAGTTGGATTAAGTCTGTCTCCTCCTAATTTCATGTACAAATTCCAATACATGAATTTGGTGGTGGTGGTAGGAAGGTTATATTCAAACCATACCAGAGATGAATAAAAGCAATAAGAACCCATCAAGTTCAATTGATTCTTACATGGGAATGAGACCCCAAAAGTGTAAGGAAATTGGCGTAGGTGCACTGGAGAAGTGATTAAGATTTAGAATATATACTAAAGATAGATCTAGCAGGACCTGTTGATGGATTAGATATGGAGTATGAAGAAAAGAGAGGGAAAGAAGAAAGACAAGTCCTAGGCTTTTGGCCGGAGCAATGGAGTAGAGGATAGTTTTATCCTTTGAAAAGACAAACACGAATCAGCAAAAGGATCAATATTGCAAGAAGAGAGAGGGAAGGAAATCAAGACTTCTGCTTTGGACATGTTAAGTTTCAAATGCCTGACAGGCATTGAAATAAAAATGATGAGTGTTCACGGGATCTATAGGGGGAAAATTCTAACAGGTTGCTGTGTAAAAAATAATCCTATTAATTGAACAGAGCATGTGATTAGTTTACAAACCACATTCTAGACTTTTTAAAATATTATATCTAAGAGGTCTTAAAATGTTTGTAGAAAAATGGAATTAAAGTGTGAGTTTATTTTGGTGCAAAAAAAATTAAAATCCATACATTTTTCTCCCACAAATACACATTTTCCATGAACTTTTTGGAAGATTCCCCTCATATGTATGACAAATACATAAATGCACAAATAACTATTTTCATCACGTTTATATTTACTCTTCACAACAATCCTAGAAAACAGAATGCTTCTAATTATCTTGGTATGTATACAGAGCTTCACTGTCCAAATTACACAATTAATACTTTGCAATAATAAATTCTATAACCAGGAGCACCATTAGCATCATCTGAATGCTAATGGTGAAGATTAGCTAATGCTAGTCTGAAGGCTTAGGAAATGTCTAAACACCTGGTGGTTATTTGTACATGTGGCCTGTGCTATGTGAAAAAGAGGGAGTGATAGAGCCTTGATAGGTTAACAGTTTTCTGCTATTTGGTGCTAGGAAACAGAGGCAATACTAAGATCCTTGGGAGAATGGCTTTAGAGGCAATGAGAAATAGACCACATCATTTACTGAGTGTCTTTCATATTCTAGGCTCTGTGCAAAATGCTTTCTTTTTTTAAAAAATTATTTTATTTAATTTATTTACTTATTTATTTTAATTTGACCAGAGAGGCAGAGAGAGAGAGGGAAAGTGAGAAAGCAGGCCGCCAGATTCGGGACTCAAGCCGCAGTCAGCCATGTGGGAGCCCAGCATCCTTAATCACCACACCACCTGCTGGCTCCTGTGCAGAAGGCTTTCATCATCATGATTCTGTGATGTGTAAGCTTTTCCAGTTCATAGTTCAGAAATGGAGTTTTTTTTGGTTTTTTGGGGTTTTTTTCTCCTCCTCCTCCCTCTTCCCTTCCCCCGCCCTCCCAGAAATGGAGTTTTTAATTAACACATTCCCAAGGTCTCACAAAGAGCCTTCAAAAAAGTCTATCAGGTTCAATTAAAGAAATAGTATCTGGGGCCAGCAGGTGGTGTGGTGGTTAATTCACTGGACTACCACATGGATGACAACAGTTCAAGTCCCAGACCTGGCAGCTTGAAACTCACTCTGGGCACATTTGCATGCATGCTCAACATCTCAGGAGGAGAAATAAAGGAAAAGAATTGCAGCATGGCCATCTTCACTGGGGGGGGGGGGGGGGTGATTTCTGACTTTCCCTCTTACTGTCTGTGTCTATCTGGCCAGCACAGGTGAAAACCTTAAAGAAAAAAAAAAAAAAGATGTACACACTACCCGGGACTCATCACTCAGCATAGTTAAAAAATCAAATTACTTTACTTGTTTGTTTGTTTGTTTGTTTTTTCTAAAATCTGTTTGTTGCCTTGGATTGGCCAGTTGGAAAGGTGCTATGGGTTGGATAACAGTTTGTCCTCCAAAGGGCCATGTTCTGGAATCTTGAATAACAGCTTTGGAAAGTGGTGAGACCTTTAAGAGGTGGGCCTAATAAGAGGGCATCATCCAATCTTCTGTGGATATGGGTGGAACAGACAGGAAGTGGAAAAGTCTGTTTTCTTCCTCCTCTCTTGTCTCTCTCTTTGGCACCTGCCTTCTCTGTTCCTGTCAGCCATGTTGTGAGCCAGTCATCCTGATGCCAGGCCCATCCCTTTGGTCTTTGCAGCTCTCAGAACTGTGAGCAAATGAACCCTTCATTCTTTATAAAGCACCTCATCTTAGGCATTTCTGTTTAGCAACATAGTAACAGGCTAACATAGTATGTCCATGCCCCTATTCCACTGCCATTTTAAAATATCCCAAAAAGGAAACTTCTCAAATCCAAACATGAAGCCATTAAGTACAGCATCCACATCTCCATATTCACAATGTGTTTACTTTAATACAGAAAATTCTCCTAACTTTTGCTCATCTCATTTTTTTCAGTCCACAAGGTTTGTCCCTTTTTGGTTGTCTCTGAGCCATCTCTAAACACTTTTTAAATTGTTCACTAGGTATTTGTTTATTCTTTTGACTAAACTAGCTGTATAATAAAATTGCATTGTCTAATACAAAAATTCTCTGCATTTCTAGTCACATTCACTAGGAACTCCAATGAGAGAAATAATTACAATTAAAACAATCATGAAAATAATAATTGAAAGTAATATTTACTTACTCTACTCTCACAAAAACTCTGTTTGTAGGCATTATTATTGCTCACATGATCTTACAGGTGAAGAAATACAGTTTCCAAAGGTTATATTACATCCCATATTACTGAGTTAGGTAAACACAGAAAGACCTCATTCCGTTCTTCTTTTCTTCTATAAAAGTTCTAATTTTTTACTTCAATCTTTATCTCTGCTAAAATAAAAATAATTCTTGGAGAAAATCATCTAGTGCTTACCTAGTATTTCCTAAGGAATATTCTAGGCAATGATGCTAAAAATGCTTCACCTAAGCTAGCACTGGTCTCATCTTCATGAGGGCTACTGTCTAGTTGAACTAGTCTCATGTTCTTAACTCTTTGGGAGGCCATGCTCTTGATGAATTTGACAAAAGAACTCCGGAGTCCAGGAAAACATGTGATATAATTTCAGGAGATTCAAAAATGCCCTGCATCTCCATCCATGACTTCAAGTTGAGAAACTAAAGCTGGTTTTATGTATTTATAACTTAGCATGTATATGTATTTGGGATACTTTTTGAAGGAAGAATGAGGTTTACTGGGAGTAGAATGTTTGAACAGAAAAAAAGAGAGAGAGACAGAGCAACTATGTGAATAATGCAAGAGAAATGTGGGCAGAAAATCCATCATTTTGCCCAGGGCTAGTATCTGATGAAAGTTGTGTAACTCAAGAAGAGCTTGCTGCACAGGATCTGTTCTTCTCCAAGGCCACTGGCTAACACTGAGATTGAGCAGATAGTCAACAGACAACACAATGCACTGATCCTGCTTTCATTGAAGTGGTTTGGGATTGACTTATTCACTCCCAGGCGATGCACTGTGATAAACCAGATCTAGCTTGGCAGGGCCATGGGGGGGGCGGGGGGGGGGGGGGTAGGAGAGGCAGTAAGGGAGGGCAAGAAGAGCCAAAGGACATACCTGGTTAGCAAAGCTGGACCTGACAGTTGCTGGAATACACTCCTCCAGGTTGGCATCATCGAAGATGATGGCAGGATTTTTGCCCCCCAGCTCCAGGGAGAGCTTCTTGAAGTGGGGAGCACTCAAATGGGTAATGCGCTCAGCTGTCAGTTGGCCCCCAGTGAAGGAAATCAGGGGTACCTCTGGATGGGTCACCAAGGCCTCACCTACTCTGGGCCCCGTTCCAAACACAATATTGACCACACCTGGTGGAATACCTGGATGGGAAAAAGGATCAAGCACAGCAGTCCTCCTCAGTATGTTGAGAACTTCGGATATATGGAGATTCTCCTCAAAAGTCCAATAATTCAAATTGTGGGATTAACAATCTTGACAGTTGTCTCTAGTTTAATAAGCAAAGTACCACAGAATGATCTCTGCCTAAAATGCACACACAATGGGATTTCCTTGAGTGCTCTGCCCTGTAGAGATGCAAGGTAGAACACATTCTAGGTAATTCATTCCATAATAATGATTAGGCTTTAGGGATTAAGGATGGAGAGCTATCTTCCGGCAGGTCAAGTCCAGTGGAAGAGTGGTACTCTGCTCCGACTTGGTATCCAGGAGGCACTACACAGTGTGAAAATATTACGTAGATGGGTAAATGCTGCAGAGATGCACAAAAGAGATCAGCTTGGCCCAGGAAAGCAGAGGAGGTCTCCCCAGGGAGGGTAGGTTTTGTGGTCCTGTGCCCCATGATCACAGACAGCACTCTTACAGTCCAGGCTGACTTACAAGAACCAAGAACACCTGAGAATAGGTGCTCAAATCTCTTCTATCACGGGATCCTACTGCTCTAAATCGGTGTTTATTTATTTATGTATTTTCTGGATTACTCATTTATAACCTGCCCACCTCTAGGAGGTATGCCAGCTAAGAAGAGGAGTGGTATCCAATTTTTACTCTCCGTTGTATCTCTGTGCCAAAACCTGGTTTGGCACACAGAACTAATATCAAAAAGTGGCTACTGTGGGCCTGCCATTGCTATAAATGATTCATATCCTTCAGATCTTAGAACAGCTTTCAAGATATGTAGAACCACTACCCTTGACTTTACTGGGTCCAGGACTTGAAACGTGATCGCCCATGTGAGGTTAAATAACAGCCAGTAAGCAACAAAGTTGTTCACAGCGGGTTAATAAATAAATGCTGAGTAAATGGGCAAGTAAATGAATACTTAGTGTTCATTATGCAAATTAGAAATGGTTTGTGAGGGCCAGTTTAACAGTTAGATTGCCTGGACTCCCACATGGCCAATCACGTTTCAAGTCCGGGACCCAGTGCCTGGACTCCCACATGGCCAATCAAATCCAAACCCCGGGACCCAGTGGTTTGAAACTCACACCAGGTGCATGTGTGCACGTGCCCAAGGAGGAGAATGGTGGAGAAGGGATTACAGCATGGCCACCCCTCTTCAGGGGTGATTTCTCACTTTCCCTCTCACTCTCTCTCTGTTTATTTCTCTCTCTCCAACAAAGCTCAGGTGCTTTAAGGCAAAACCTTTAAAAATAAAAAAAGAAGAAGAAAGAAATGGTTTGCAAATTTGGGAAGTTTTTTTTTTTTTTTTTTGGAGAGATTTTTGCTATAGGGTGCATGCGCTCGCCAGACAGACAGAGAGAGAGAGACATAGAGACAGAAAGCGAGAAATCACCCCCCAGGGGGGATGGTCACGCCGCAATCCCTTCTCCTCCATTCTCCTCTCGGGATCTTGGGGACGCACGCACACGCGCCCAGCGTGAGTTTTAAGCCACCGGGTCCGGGACGCGAACCGTGGTCGACTACGTGGGAATCCAGCGACATAGCCATTATGCTAACTGCTGGTTCCCCAAATTTGGGAAGTTTTAAGAGTCCAAAAGAAACCCCATATGCAACTGTGTTGTGTCTAGAAAGTTCTTATGGTTTGCCTGAAGGGAGCTGAATTTTTCCATTTCTTCAGGTTTGACCTACAGTAGGTGCCGAAATCCACCAACGTGTAAGTTTTTGGAACTGCTTCCCAGCTCCTACTATCTCTCCCTTGCTCCTGGTTAGACATTCTCTTCTTAAAAGCATACTCTCTTGGATTCAACCCATCTCTTCAAGAATCTACATTCAAAAATATAAATAACAATTTCACAGTGACGATTCATTATCATCCAGAACACTCTTCCATGGAACTACAGCCTTAGCCTCATCACCTTGAGGGGACATCCAGGTGACCAAAGAGACAGGTTAGCAAGGTTCAAACGGTCATGATGATGTCCAGCAAAGCCCTACTTCTGATGCTCCCGCCTCTATACCCAACGTGCACATTTGCTGACACGGAGCTTAGGCCTGTCCTGGATTGTAGGTCATGCAGGGAAACGCCAGGCAGCATGTGAGAGCTTCTGGACCCCGGCTGGAGCAAAGAAGAGTGCCAGAGGAGAGGACCGCCCCCAGCACTGCGGGAGGAAAACAAGAATGTATTTACCACCATTCAGGGTGGGGCCCTGAATCTCCATCAACTGCCGCACCTGTGTGTGTAGATGGGGGAGCAGGGGCATGAATAGATTGTGAGGCTTTACAAATCCTGGTGGAAAAAATAGATGGAATCGCTTCTCATGGTGTATTCTAAGGAGGTGAGTGAAAACACAGAAACACCATGGTTGTCGTGTCATCATGTTATGACGCTGGCTCCCTACCTTGGACTTCCCAGTCACCAGAACTGAAAGTCAAATAAACCTCTATTCTTTATAAAATCACCCAGTCTTGGGTATTTCTGTCGGCAATATAATAGCAGGTTAAGACATGCTATTAAAAGTTGCTCTTGGGACCAGAAGCTGACATAATGGCTATGTTGCTGATCTCCCATGTAGTCGACCACGATTCGAATCCTGGACCCAGTGGCTTAAACTCACACCAGGCACGTGTGTGTGCATGAGTGTGTGTGTGTGTGTGTGTGTGTGTGTGTATGCCCAAGATTCCAAGAGGAGAATGGAGGAGAAGGGATCGTGGCGTGGCCATCCTCCCCGGGGGTGGGGGATGGGGGTGGGGGGATGATTTCTTGCTTTCTGTCTCTCTGTCTGTCTTTCTGATGGGCGCATGCCCCCTATAGCAAATCTCTCCACACACACACACACAAAGTTGCTCTTACATTGCTCTAAAATAGGATTACATATACGTGAGTCACACTTCCCACTTCCTCCCAATCCCACTGGAGATCGTGAGAGCTCAAGAGAATTGAGTGCTACATTTTCAATATTTGTCAGGGGAAGGATGTTTGACAAAGTCTCCTCAGGGAGGAAAGAGAAGGGTTGTTTTGGTAGAATAGGCTTATAATAATAGTTCTCAAGAAAGAGGATCTATGCTGTGTAAATAGACGGAAATGGAAAACTCCCATGCAGACCTGGTTCTGGAGAAAGTGTTTCGGAAAGATAACTCATCAGAGATCAAGAAGTGTTTGATTTCAGGAGAGAGTGGGTCACAGGAACGTGGCTCTGTGGTGCACTTCCACTTGCACATGTTCCCTTGCTGACAGGGCATCCAAGTAGAGTGTTTGCCCTAATTCTATCCCACTTTGGGGAACCTGCAGTCACTAGCTGAGAAGAAACGCCTTGACACTTTGTAGGCAACAGACTCAATTTTACAGTGAATGGGATTAGACTATGATCTTTTTTATAAGGGAGGGTTGACACATTCTAGGACGGGGAAAGATTGGCACATTCATGTCCTCAGGGCCTAGGGGATCCACAGATGCCCAAAGACATAAGTGTGAAGCCTCGCTCCTCTGTAGGAATCTAGCTCCATCAGGGCCCAATGTCCTTCCCTGTTCCCTGAACAGGCTCCCTTTTAACTTGTCATCTAAATCCTAAAGAACTGGCTAGGGCTGGCCCTGTAGCCTACTGGTTAAGGGAAGAGGGATCCCATATGGCCAACTGCGGCTCAAGTCCAGGCCCCAGGGGCTTGGAAAAACACACCAGACTTGTGTGCATGCATGCCTCAAATCCTAACAGGACAGAGAAATGGAGGTGAAGGATTGCAGCATGACCACGCCCCATTGGAAGGCGCCTTCTCCTTTCTGTCTCGCCATCTCTCTCTCAAGTCTACATGTCCTCTGGCTATTGACTTTTTTAAAAATGAACTGACTAAACTTTACTGGAGGCTAATATGTTTTACTTCTAGAAGAGGTATCCGGAAGAAGAAGAGAGAAATGGACACTTACCCAGTACCCACTTTATGGGTAAGCAGGTTCTTTTATGTGAGCTGAAAAAACAGCAAGTACTAGAGAGGCTAAGAAGCCAGAAGGACAGTAAGCCTGTCCCTGTCACTCAGCCATTATTGCCTTCCCAGCTGAGGGGGGAAGTGAGCAAAAGGACTTGATAGTAAGGGGCCTGCTCACAGGTACGCTGGGGCTTCTTGTCTGTTACCTTTGAGTAGTAGGCACTGGCAGGCTGTGTCTGTGCAGAGCATAACCAGGACATGCCCTGTTGTTTTTCTTTAAAGAATTATTTTTATTTATTTATTTATTTTCACATGAATTTTGCCAGAGAATGAAAGAGAGAGAGAGAGAGGGAGAAAAAGCAAATCTCCAGGTCCGGGACTCAAACCACAGTCAGCCATGTGGGAATTCTAACACCTTAAGCACCATGTCACCTGCTGGCCCCCATGCTCTGTTTTAGCCCGTGTTTCTGTTGGTATAACAGAATACCACAGACAAAGTAATTTATAAGGGATAAAAATTTATTCAGCTCCAGGTTCTGGAGGTCCAAGGTCAAAGGGCTGCATCTGGTGGGGAATCTCTTCAGAGTCTTGAGGTGGTTCGGGGCGTTATGTGGTAAGAGGGCAAGTGCACATGTTCACCCTCGTCTCATTCCCTCTTCTTATAAAACCATCAGTATCTCATCATGGGGGTCTCACCCTGAAGACTTTATCTAATTCTAATTACCTTCCAAAGTCCCACCTTTTAATACCATAGTCAGAATAAGTTTCCATCCTCTTAATATCATGACAATAATAACCAAATTTCAATACATTTTTGGAGGGATGCATTCAAACCATAGCCCTGAAGGTGGCCACTATACCCTTAGCAGAAAAACGACATGGAACAAATGCATAATCCTGATACGCTGGTCAAGGTCATATTGTACCAGCTTCTGAGTAGCAGTCTGAAATGCAGAAAAAGCTGAGGGTTGTATATTCCAATCTCTTGAAAATGGATGCCCAGCCTCACGGAGCAATCGGTAGCCTATGAACCGCTGTCCTGCAGCTTTGGATCCCTGGATGACCTGAGAACACTGGCCGAGTATGCAGCCAGGATCCTGATGGGCAAGAGGGCTAAGGGAAGGGGGTCACAGAGTGACAAGATGCCATCGAGGGTGACTTTCTCTCTGTCTTTCTCTTTCTCTCATGCACACACACATACTCTCACACATGAATTTTTTACAAAATATCTCTTGAAAGTGGGCTATCTCTACTATGTATTTTATAGCTAAAGCAACTATAAGAGTACTGGCAATAGTCTTATTTTCATCAAGATCAAACATAAGACTTGAGCTGACTATTGAAGAGACTATCTGGAATGGACTGGTGTCTTTGATTTGGTCCAGACCCTTTAAGCATCAATTGCTTCTCTGTTCTTCCGGCTCTGCCAGCTGACCCCTCTCCACCCCCACCCCTGGGACTGCAGCTGTCCTGTAGTGGCACCATTCTGGCGTGGACTAGAGGAAGCAGTGTGAGAGAGCCCTGGGGAAAAGGGATTTCTCAGAAAAGAGACAAAACCCAAAGATGTCACTGGAATCAATTTTGCTGCGGAGTGGAAGATTTCTGTATATTAGGTCGTCAGGAAAGTCATGATGTATTTTTCTGTTCTTCTGTGCACAAATGTGTCATGACTTTCCTGATGACCCAATAATACAATGTTCTCTAGCTCTATACCCCCCCAGCCCCAATATCTAATTACCTGCCTTATCCAAGAGCTTGCACAACATCCACGCAGTCACTGACGTCAGCTCGCTGGGCTTGGCTATCACAGTATTCCCAGCAGCAATGGCCGGAGCTATCTTCCAGGTCAGTAAGTAGAGTGGCAAATTCCAGGGACTGATCAAACCAGCTGGAAGATGAGGACAGAAGCATTGCCAGTGATGACACCCCCAGCAGGAGCAGCCAGGGGTGGGGGTGGGGGTGGGGGGGAGGCCTCAGGCTGGTTATTATGCAGAACTCCTTCATGCAGCCTGAAACTTCATTTGTTCTTCTAAAACCCCAAACAGTGCTTATTTGTGTCCAACTTCAGGCAACTGTGCCTTGTAAACCACAGAATGATATGATATGTGCTTCCTTCATGGTTTACAATTGCACTTCGGCTCCAGACTACCAAGCAGATACCGTCACTAAATAGCTCCAGAACGTGATGCATTTTGAGATTTACAAACTGACTTCTACTTTTAAAAAATCTTCCTCTTTATTATTAAAGTGTCCTGCTGCTATCTTTATCTTTATCTTTTTCCACATTTATTTCTGATCTGTTGTGCGTTGGGACATGAACTATCAAACTTTATAGAATTCTATGTAAAATAGGAGCAAAAAAAAAGTTCTGAGTGTTCCTTGTAAGAGTTCTATGGGATTCTGTATGGTCATCCCCTGGGGACAGAGGGGAGATTTCTCACTTTCCCTCTCACTGCCATGCTTTCTCTCTCTCTCTTTGGTGAGCACACAAACCCTAAGGCAAAAAAATAAAAAATAAAAAATAAAAAGACCTTTGATGTATAGACTATGAAATCCACTTTGGCAATTCACAAGATTTTTAAATAAAAATCCTCTCTAGAATCTCACCTATATCTAAACCAGATAGGTGTGCTCAATAAATATTATAACCAATAATTAACATGTTGCTCTATGCAATATTCTGAAACTGTCCAGGTTTCCAACCACAAAACTCACAATAGAAAATCTATCAATGAATGAGGAAACAGACACCTTATTTTGTATCTGCCCTCAAGTCTGTGCTATGAAAGTATATGTATATTTCATATTGTTAAATTTCCCACTGAAGATAGTTTTTAGAGAATAATATAATATCTTTGCAGTAAAATACATTAGCATACTTCTTTAGAGGTGGTTACAGCTTTCCTTAGTGTCTTAAAACTGATTTCTGAGCCAGGCGATGGTGCAGTGGTTAAGGCAGCTGGGTCCCACATAGATGACCCTTCAGTTCTAGCCCTGGACGTGACGGCTTGAGAATCATGCCAGGCATGTGTGTGTGCATGCCCAAAATCTCAGGAGGTGAAGGGAGAAGGAACTATGACATGGCCATTCCCCAGGGGGGATTTTCCTCACGTTTCCTCTCTCTTTCTGTCTCTCTGATGAGCACACTCACCCTAAAGTCTAAAAAGGAAAATAAAATAATAAATTCTGAGGGGCTTCAAAGAATAAGAGCAGTAAACAATCCATTTTCTTTCATTTTAACTTGTGTCCATACAATGCAACCAGTAAAATATGGACAATTTGTGTTTAAGAGGAAACACTGACATCTAGTGGATGTTTTTAGTCACTGCAGACATATATGTTCCTCTGAAGGTCAAGTAGCAAAAAATGAATGAGGGAAATAGGTAATCCTCATTCAAGGCTTATTTAGCACATACCTGGTATTATTCAAAGTGCCCTACAGTTATTAATTTATTTAATTCACATAAAACATACATACATGTCAATTAAACCGTGATTTCAGCTTTTCAGATAAGATCCTGAAACACAGAAGTGAAGAGATTCAGCCACACAATTCTAGAATCAACCACTGCACTCACTGGAGATAGATTTTCTTTAGCAAAAAGAAAGAAAGAAAGAGAAGAAAGAAAGAAAGAAGAAAGAAAGAAAGAAAGAAAAGAATGGTGGCAAGTGCATTTATTCTTAGAATCATCCTTTTTCCTGTGATATTTCAAGTTAATGTCCTAGAGATACGTAGGGAATTTGAGACAAATGGAATAAACCAGAAATCGATTTTTGAGGCTAACAAGTTTTCAGTAAAGGAAAGATCTCAATCTGTCCCTTGAGATCTTTTTTTTTTTTCATTTTTGCCACAGAGAGACACAGAGAGAGAGTGACAGTGAGAAAGCACTCTCGAGGGGATGGTCATGCCACAATCCCTTCTTCGCTGTTTTCTCTCTCATTTTGAGATTCTCGGCACGCATGCGCACATATGCACCTGATGTGTTTCTCAAGGCGCGGGGTCCAGGACATGAACAGGGCGATCAGCCACGTGGGATACAGCCGCCTTCACCATGCCACCAGCTGCCGGAGATCAGCCTGTAGAACGTTCCAGGCATCCCTCTACATAATCCCAGGTGTCCCTGAACAGCACCTACCGACTCCCACAGGGCTCCGCACTGTGTAGTGAAAGCAGCCTGCGTGGTCCATCTGCGTGCACTCCGACGTGTGGTGCAGGATGGAAGAAGCAAAGAACCGGAAGTTCTGCACCGACCGCGGGATGTCCATGGTTCTTGCCAGAGTTAAGGTCTTCCCTGTAAGAAGTTAAGAACACAAGGCACTACCAGTGTATCTCACATGGAGTAGGTGGAGACTATCCATCGGGTCGCTTCCGCCATGGAACTAGCCTTGGTTCCTTCCAACCTGAGGTGGATAAAGCTATGAATAATTAGAGGTCAGTTGGTGACTAGTAATCCAACGCTCTGCAATGCTGGCCCCATATGGCAAGGCTCTGGATTTCCGTCCTGGGGCCTCTGTGCATGCTGGGTGCATGCACTTGTGTCCATGGTCTGGGCTGGCTGAGGCTGTGTGTGGTGGGGTGGGGGGTTGTAGCATGGGGATCCAGTTGAGCGTCTTCCACCCTGTGAAAGAGAGGAACTTTCTCAAAAACCTATGAACATTAGACATTACGTTATAAGATGAGATAGGAGGTTAAAGGTCAGTTGAATAATCTTTTCTATGGGAATGGACCGCTCCATAGTGCTCATAGTGATTTTGCCAGACATTACTGCTTCAGCTACATACGCTCCTGCAATTCAAAATCACCAGGCTTTGTACCTGCCCGGAAGAGGTAGAAATAAAAGGTAAGAGAGCTGTATTTGTACATCATGAAAACTACTTATATAAACATGTGATGTATATTAACTGTCCTCCCAACACATGGTAGAGTTAGAAGGCTGATGGGAACCTGGCCCAGGGCACTGTGGGTCACTTGCTCACCCATCACACTCCCATTTACATCCTCACTCCTGGGTGGAATAGAAACACAAGCTTACCTGGATTGTCATTAGCAGAACAGAGAGACTCCACAGTCAGAAACACCAGCAAAAGGGGACCAGCAGTTAGCGTAATGGCTATGTCGCTGGACTCCCATGTAGTTGACCGTGGTTTGCGCCCCGGACCCGGTGGCTTAAAACTCACGCCAGGTGCATGTGCGCTTGTGCCCAAGGTCCCAAGAGGAAACACCAGCAAAGAAAACCTTTTCTTTTAAAGGGTTTGGACTCAAGTTACTTCCTAACTTTAGTCTGATTTATAACAAACATACTTTTAGAAGATCTTGGCTTTGCTAATAGATACTATTCTAAAGATTTACAGATATTTACTCCATTATCCTAACCTCTGGAAAGGCGTGAAAAAATGAGAAATTGTATTGGGAGTGGAATGTTGACTGACATGTTGGAAAACTTTCCAAATGACTACATAACTGCCCTTCCAATTAGCTTGGCTTTGAAATTCTCTACTTAGAATGGGTGGAGGATTGCGAGATCAGCCCTAGTTCTTCATCTCCCTTATGTCCATGGCTTTTGTCACCGTTACTTCCATGAAACAGAGTATAGCTTCTCCTTACTTAATGACCTACCTGTTTAACAACTGCTCAAACTTAGGGTTCTTCAGCACAGAATCCCCTTTGTCATTCTATGTGAGTTTTGGGAATCCCCTTTCTTGGGCTTTGCCTTATTCCTGCAGTCAGTTAGTATTCACTACACAAATCATTCATAATCACGCAAGGCTATATATTTTATTTATAAATTTGTATTTTACTGTGCACCCATAGTAGTACCCAGAATGAATAAAAATGGGTATGCTGGATTCACATTACTGTGTTGTGTGCCTTGCCATTTTCTGGTGCTCATCTAATGTACGCTTTCTGTATGGATAGAGTTACATTATTCTGGTGTGGTGATAGCTGTTGAAAAATGCATACCCTATGGTACTACGACACACCACAAGACATTCACCTTTAGGCTCCTTACTTATCAACCAGTTTGTTTAAGGACCTAGTTGTGAAAACAGAACCCAGTCATTAAGTGAGATGTATTTTTCCGTCTCTTGGCTTTGGGTTCAGCACACGACTGCTTTGGCCATCAGAATAGGGTAGAAGGGTACCAGCTACAAGCCTTGGCTTTCCAAGGTCTTGGATGATTTTCTTGTTTCCCTCTACCCCTGCCATGAGAAACACGTGCATTCCTGATGGTCCCAGGAGGAGTAATGTGATGACCACAAGTGTCCTGAGTCACATCCATTATGGTTAAGAGGCAAGAGATCTTCTGACAAACTGGCATGAGGCTGTTAATGGCTAGTATCTATGTGATGTATTATAGCTTTCATAAGCATTTAACAAGAGACACCTGCATTCAAACCCCAGCTCTGCTAGAGACAGACAGACAGGTAAGTCCTTCCAGAGATGGTGCTCACCTTGGTCTTTAGACTCCGCCTGGGCGAACTCCTCCAGGGACTGTTCCAGCAAATCTGCCAGCTTATTCAGGACCCTTGAGCGTTCCTGGGGGCTCCAGGATGACCAACCAGGAAAGGCTGCTCTGGCAGCCTGGACCGCAGCTTCTATCTTTGAGCAGCAAACGGGAGAAGATTGCCTTAAAGCTCTTAAAGTGTTGGATCAATGCAGAATCCACAAGTCCTTATCCACTTAATTTTGTTGTATGTTTGTTTGCTTTGCATGCTTTTTGTATGTTTTAGTTGATTTTGCCTAATTTCATATATTCAACACGTCCCAGTGCTGGGCTACTAGCAAAGCCAGTGTACCACAAAAACAAAGAAAAATGCTTCATTTCAACCGAGGTCTGCAGAATGTGGCAACCAGATAATCAGAAAGAATGTATATGAATTTTAATATATGTACATTTTAAATAACTTTAACACATAGAAATTTCTCTTTGAATATTGTTTGGGAGAGGAAACTTGTCTAGATGTACCATCTCTAAAAACCTTTAATTCCAAAAAATAAAAAAAGGGGGGGGGACCAGCAGTTAGCATAATAGCTATGTCGCTGGATTCCCATGTAGTCGACCGCAGTTTGTGTCCCGGACCTGGTGCCTTAAAACTCACACTGGGCGTGTGTGTGTGTGTGTGTGTGTGTGTGTGCCCAAGATCCCAAGAGGAGAATGGAAGAGAAAGGATTGCTGCGTGGCCATCCCCCCTGGGGAGTGATTTCTCGCTTTCTGTCTCTGTTTTTCTCTGTCTGGTGAGTGCACACACCCTATGGCAAAAACCTCTCCAAAACAAACAAAAACAAAAACAAAACAAAAACAAAAATACTTTAATTCCACCCTAATATTGTATAAAGTCTAAAGTTTTGCATGAACTCCCATTTTCCACTGTCATTCTCACTGGGAATGACTCATTCTATTAGTCATTTATTGAGTAATTTTTATAGATAAGGAAACATGTTAAATATCAATATTTTACACCAATTATTTCATTGAATCCCTTCTAAAATTCTGTAACGTGAGTATTGCTGTGCCCATTTTACAGATGAGGAACAGAGGCACAGAAAGCTCAAGTACCTGGCCAGAGATCACACAGCTAATACATGGCAGACTCAGACTTCAAACCAAGACTTTGTGGTCCCCAAAACCACACACTGACCCACTGTGGCGCAGCCACCGCCGCTGCCCCTTGCCTTGTTCTGCCCAGTGGAAGAAGCTCCGTTGGAGAGGAGGGGCTCTGTGGCTGGACACAGCTTGGGAACCCACTTTTGGAGCTACCTCCCAAAGAAAACAACGGAAAGGAAGGCACAGACCAACTTATGGCCAAAATGTGATACAGGCAAAATGAACTTTTGAGTTCTCATCTGCCTTTTTCTTCTCTCGGGCAACATCTAAGCAATGCCCTTTCCAGATAAAGAGACTCCCTAGTCTGTGTCCAGCCCCCTCCTCTCTCCCATGCAAGACAGATACTTATAGTCATTAACTCAGTTCTCTTCCTTCCCTGAGCTCCGGCTCAGCCTCAGAATCCTTTTCCACAGGCGTCAGGCAGCCGCAAGCATCTTCCTTTTATCATGTGGTCTGACAGCAATCCAGCCTCTGGGGCCTTTGCTAGCCCTCTTGCACAAAACCTGACCCACGCCATGCTTTTATTTTCCTCATGAGAACAAGGTCACTTTCAGCTAAGCTGAAAGAAGGTATAAAATGATACTTATCTTAATTATAAATTTCTGGGAAGATAGCAGTTTTACTTCAAAAACAGAATCCAGTGTGGATCTACAGAAGGAAGGAAGAGATGCAGGCTTGGGTGATGTCTGCCACAAGCTGTAGTCATGGGGAACCCCACTGACCCCTAACAAGAGCAGGGCAAATTCCTGCAGGAGTCGGTGAAAATATCTGATCTTGTCACTATTCAGAACATTCAAGTTCGCTCGATGTGCTAAGGGTGTCTTAAGTCATAAAGTCTAATGTCCTTGTAATACCAAACACATATTAATCTACTCTATACTGTCCTGCTAGCATAAGCTGACCCTTAGAAAACATTTACCACATGCCAGCCATGGACTTCACATCCATGAGTCTGTTTAATCCTCAGAATAGCACTCTGCAAGAGATATTACAATTATCCCCGTTTTACAGATGAGGCACAGAGTGGTCCAGCTCCGAGTCCAGGCCATGGATACCAAGTGGTCGGACAGTCTTTGAAGCCAAGCAGTCTCATTCCAGTCTGTGCTTCAGCTGCAGTGCTATAGTGTAAATGTTCCACAAACGCACATGCACATGTGTGTGTACACTGATGCAAGCAGCAGAGGAGAAGGTGTTAGCACACTGTCCTCAGTAAGATAAGGATGATGATAGAGCCTGATCTCTAGGTTGTAACAGCTCATTGTTCGGTACAACCCAACCAAGAAATAAATTTGGACTTTTTGGATCAGATAGGATATTTGTAGCTAGATTGCTGAGAAACAAACAAACCAAAAAAAGCCCCCATTACTCTACTTGCGGGTACATCCGTACTTCCTCCAATTTTCTGAAAAGGCATGAGATATTAACTGCAAAAAATAGTTTTCACCTTTAACTTCACTTTGGAAAACACTCTGAGACAAGAAATGGAAAACATAGAGCTGGATTTTCCACATCTAATGTCCAAAATACCTCTAATGACCTGAGGTCATTTGAAGCAAACAAAACTGCAAGTTACAGTTTAACCAATGAGTTAACCAATATTTGCAAACTCTAATCCATAGTCTAAAGGTTTCTTGATGCATGAAAGATTTGTTATTGACAAAAGAAAATAGTTGAAGGTTTTGTTTTTTTTTAAATGCATTAGGCTTTGGATGTCCATATATACATCAGCCACATTTATCACCACAGATATGTTTACATTCTCAGTATAATAATTGATAACTAATTAAACATATTTCAGACATTTTACAAAATTTCCCAAGTAAAATTAATTTTACATCACCAAAAAAAAAAATGCATGTGCCATTAAGCACTTTCAATAAGGAAAAGGATGCTATCAATCTAACTGTAAAAATATATTTTGAAATATATTTAATTTTGAGTCTCAGCATTCGAATGATTGATTTTCTCTTACTAGGTATTCTAAAGACATGAGGGATTTTTAGAGGACAATCTAATGCCCCAGGTTTTTGATTGTTTGTTTTTGTGAGATGACACAATTTTTAATAACCCAGGGATAGAGTGGTAAATGTAGGCAATAATGTATATCTATAATGGTAAGGAAAAAGGAGCACTTAATAATAGTTCTTATAGATAATACATTGTAGTAGACACCTGTTAGAGAAAGCCTGAGAATTATGAAAAATAAACTACATACACGGCTATGTTCATTTGCTAGAAAAATGATTTGGTTTTGAATAGAGAAACCTGAGGTTTGTCTGTGTTCCATATACATCCGGTTGCGATATAAACCTTCTTAGAGCTAGACTCATCTTTCTGCTAACGTTTAACAATACCGCACCTTCCTCCAACCCCTGTATACTTTAACTAAAAAATTAGATGCCTTTCTATTTTCTCTGAGTATACTCACCTCTTCTTTTCCACTATTTGGCACTCTGCAATATACTTCTCCTGTTGATGGGTCATAGGAATCTATATATGAGTGACAAGGTAAAAATTTTCCATCTATGAAGTTTTCCAGAATCAAAAGTTCCTGAGTTCTAGCCATCGCAAGGAAAAATCCTGCCTCTCTCTTTTGCAGTCGTTCACTCTGGTTGCCCCACCACGTGCCTACTAAATTACTACTCCTAAATTAGTCTCTTTTTTTTTTTTTTTTCCAGCCCCAATACCCTCATTTGCCAATCAGTAGAAGAGGGAGGTGACCTGACGTTGCCAACTCAGAACACAAGACAGGCTTCCAGTCTCCAAACTCAGAACGCAAGAGCTCTCAATATTTTACTTACTTCCAGTACATTATGAGACATGGTAAACTGTTAAACTAGCATCAACCTACATCTCCGTCTCCACAGCCCTTGAAAATCATCAGACAGCATCTGAATGTACTTTACTGAGTTCATATTGTGAGCTGTTCATTGCTCAAACACTACTCACTTATTCCACACAATAATCCTATATGAAGTACACAGAGAAATTGAGCCTTGAAGAGGTTAGATAATCCGTACAAATACCAGTGTAAGCAAGGGGAGAACTGTAACCCATTAGTCTACAAATTAGGTTTTTCCCTCAGCACGTAACTGCCCTTATCCTGCAGAGGTGACTGAGCACAGGAGCCCTCATTTCAAAGTTTGTTTCTCTTTTCCTTTGCTGACTTTGCTCCGAAGAGCTGTATCTCCATCCTGAAGCCAGCAACACAGCAGAAGCTCACCTGGAGGCGAAGATTCAAACCAAACACGTGTGGGACATACATACTAAACAAAGGACTCTTGTCCTTTATGATATAGGTAGGAATTAATAGAAATTGGTCAGAGAAATAAGCAACCCAGCTGATAAGATAAGCAAAGATGGGACTGGCAGGTGGCACGGAAACTAAGACAGCTGGATCTCACATGGCCAAATGCATGGTTCAAGTCCCAGACCCAGTGACTTAAAGAACATGCTGGGCATGTGTGCATGCTTGTCCCAAAAATCCTGAGAAGAAAAGAGAGGAGCATTACAGCATGGCCATTTCCCCAGGGGGTGATTTCTCATTTTCCCTCTCTCTGTGTCTCTCTCCATGGAGCACACACACACAATAACAAAATTTAAAAAAAAAAAAGCCAAAAATATAGAAAAGTAATTCAGAGTCAGGGGAACCTAGCTAGCTAAGGAATTTGAAATACAAAAGGTGCCCTGTTTGGCCAGACTGGAGAGCATTTGTAAAGACTGATACCATCCATCCACTCTGGGCATGTGAAGAAGCACACATGCTCTTCATGCATTGGTAGGACTCTCCTGAGTGCCCACGACATGGTTTGGTGCAATTTGCTAGTGTCAGCATTTCCTTTTTTTTTCTTTAGCTATTCATCAGAATTCATTATTTACATATAATTATTACACATCTTTGCAGGTTAGAGAATGGGGTTTAAAAACGTGCACACAGGGTCAGGCAGGTGGGCCTAGTGGTTAAGGCACTGGACTCCCACATGGCCAGCCGCAGTCTGGACCTGGCAACTTGATTTCTCACCTTCCCTTTCTTTTTCTCTCTCTGTCTCTCTCTGGTCAGGTTAAAAAATAACAACAAATACAGTTAAATAAACAAATAATTATTTTAAAAAGCATGTATACAGTGTATAGTAAACAAATTGAAGATGTGAACATATTCATCACCTTTAATACTTAACATTATGTGGTGAACATTCAAAACACTCCAATGGTTATTCTGCAAGTATGTACTGAGTTGTCTATGATATTCTTTACAGAGAGGTACAGTTTTAAAGAAAGTATATGGGGGGGGGTGGTGCCTGCTCTATGGTGAAGAAAAACATATTATTATTTTTCTTTTTTTTTGAGAGAGAGTTTGTTTTGTTTTGTTTTGTTTTGTTTTGTTTTGTTTTGTTTTGTTTTGTTTTGTTTTGTTTTGTTTTGTTTTTTGCTATAGGACGCGTGCACTTGTCAGAAAAAGAGAGAGAGACAGAGAGACAGAAAGTGAGAAATTACCCCCTGGGGGTATGGCCACACCGCAATCCCTTCTTCTCCAGTCTCCTCTCAGGATATTGGGCACACACGCACACTCACCCAACATGAGTTTAAGCCACCGGGTCTGGAACTCGAACCATGGTTGACTACATAGGAGTATAGCGACATAGCCATTATACCAACTGCTGGTCCCAAACATATTGATTAAAAACAAGTCAACATGGGCCAGCAAGTGGCATAGTGATTGAGCACTGGACTCCCACATGGCTGGCAGCAGTTCAAGTCCTGGACCTGATGGTTTGCTTTCTCATTTTCTCAGACTGAAAAATAATAACAAATAAAAATAAATTATTACTTTTTAAAACTAAGACAAGAAACAATGTTATAAATTGACAAAGATTATCTTAACATAGCCAATGAAAGAAGAATTTGTGATTTCCATGTAGAGAACTGTGGGAGATAAGAGCTTATAATCCTAAAAAAATCTGTGGGTATCAATCACTGGTCCAGCTAAAGATAGGTAAAATTATACATAACAATAGCTCACTAAGAAGAGATAGAAAAAGAACACTTTTACTCACACAGTGTGAGTTCTTATAAGACCATAGTACTGTACTGTGCATAAAGAAATAGGTCCTCAAAAAAGCAAAGATAAAACAAAATTAGAAAGATGTGAAAAGTGAAGACATGGTTGGGAACCAGCAGTTACCGTAATGGCTATGTCGCTGGACTCCCACGTAGTCAACCACGGTTCGAGTCCTGGACCTGGTGGCTTAAAACTCACGCCGGGCACGTGTGCATGCGTGCCCAAGATCCCGGGAGGAGAATGGAGAAGAGATTGCGGCGTGACCATCCCCTCTGGGGGGTGATTTCTCGCTTTCTGTCTCTCTGTCTCTCTCTGTCTGTCTGGTGAGCGCACGCGCCCTACAGTGAAAACCTCTCCAAAAAAAAAAAAAAAGTGAAGACATGGTAAAGCCAGTGATTTGGTGACTTCTAGGCTGTCGAAAGTTCTTGATTTTAACTTTAAATTCAGTCCAAAGATGCAGCTGTAGCATCTTGGAATTTTCTCTATTGTCTAGTTCTATACAATAAGTAATGGTTTTAATAGACCTATAAATTGAAACCTGGGAGACAACTGTCTATAAAATAATTGATGAATTTGTATATAAACCTGCTCGTGTGAAAATTGTTGAGTCTATATTTAGTCCCAACATTCAGTGTTATTTTTAAGAAGTGTGGACTTAGCCTTTTTTTCTAGTTATTTTGTGTTCTCTTACTTCTAATTGTCTCTCTAGATTTTGTAGTATAGTAGTCTCTTACATATTTCCTGAAGAGTCATTTTAGTTTTAGTGAATTCTTTCAGCATTTGTTTATCTGGGAATTATTTTATTTCTCCTTCCCATTTGAAAAATAATCTTGTTAAGTATAGTACTCTCGGTTGAAATTGCTTTTCTTTCAGAGTTTTAAATATGTCTTCCCATTCTTTCCTTGCCTGAATTGTTTCAGCTGAGAGATCCAACGTTAGTCTAATGGGATAACTTTTGTAAGTAATTTGGCATATCTCTCTTACTGTTTTAAAATTTTCTGTCTTTTTTTGTTTGTTTTGTTTTTAAAACCAATTTAGCTGCGATAGACCTTGGAAAGAATCTTCTCATATCATTTGGTGTCCTCCGTATCTCCTGGATTTGGATGGTTGAATGCCTCTCTAAATTTGGAAAGTTTTCAGTTAATATGCTATGAAAGATGTTTTCTATGGCTTTACCTGTATTTTCTCTTTCTGGAATACCTATTATGAGGATATTTGGTCACTTAATGATTTCCAATACATTATCTTCATTTTTAATTTTGTAAACAATTATTTTATTTGTTATTATTATTATTTTAAATTTGACCAGAGAGAGACAGAGAGAAAGGGAAAGTGTGAAAGCAAGCCGCCACGTCCAGGACTCAAACCACAGTTGGACATGTGGGAGTTCAGCACCCTAACTACTATGCCATCTGCTGTATTTACTTATTTTTAATTTGACCGGACAAGGACAGAGTGAGAGAGGGAAAGTGAAAAACCAAGCTGCCAGGTCCAGTACTTGAACCATGATCGGCCATGTGGGAGTTCAGTGCCCTTAACTACCATGCCACCTGCCAGCCTTGATTGTCCTCCTTTTTAATGGTTATTCTTCTATTCTTTTCAGTTAATGGACTAAATTAGAGGTCTTATCTTCAAGGTCAGAGATTCTTTCTTCTACATGGTCTAGTCTGCTGTTGATATTTTAAAAAAAGGTTTTTATTTCCTGCAATGTAGTCTTTATCTCCAGAAGTTCTGTTTGATTCTTTTTCAGTGTGTCTACCTTCTTATGGAGTTCATCCATCATGTCACGAAGGATTTTCTCATCTCCTATGATTGGCTCTAAAGTTTACTCTTGCATATAGTTGAGTGTACATACAACGAATATTCTGATTTTTGAGTGTATATACAACAAATATTCTGATATTTTTCCTGACATTTCTGCAATCTCTTGTATTTTATCCATAGTTGGAGAGAAGTGATGGTCCTTTGAAGGGGAGGTATTTCTTGATTTTCTCCTATTTCTTCAGGTTCTGCTTTGGTTTATTTTTAGTTACCTAGTGGGTAGACTCACTTCTTTCTTCTTCTTTGGCATATGTTCCTATAACTGTGTGCTCCTGCACATCTCTGTGATATGTGTATTCTCTGTGCCAATGTCTCTCTACTGTGTGAAAGGAGTACAGAATCCACAGCAGCAGCTTAGGCTTTAAGTATTCAGAAGGGAGTTTTTCTCTTTTTACTGTCACAGGAATTATGGTAAAAATAATTGCTCCAGAGACTTCTACTTTCATGTGTTTTGTTCTTGTATACTCAAACCTAACTGCTCCAAATGTGGATGGAGGTAGCACCAAATCTTGGTCTACCAAGTGGACTCAAGCTGAGAGGCTTGACTTAGGCTTTCCTGTTGGTCCTGGATGAGTGAAGGGCAGAATGGCGTCAGCACACATGGACCAGAAGCTCCTACCTTCTATCTCTGGGATTGCAGGGTCATTTCTTTCCTTCTCTAGGACTGTGGGAACCCGCCATTGGTCTTTGAAGGCTGGAGGGCCCCTCCTCCCCGACAACAGTCTGGATGTAGGTCCTTGATGGTGAGCTCAAGCTGAGCAGC